CCTCTCCCTGTGCACGGGAGCTGCTGGCGTCCTCGGCCCGGCCGCAGCCTCTCTCTGTGCACGGGAGCTGCTGGCGTCCTCGGCCCGGCTGCAGCCTCTCTCTGTGCACGGGAGCTGCTGGGGTCCTCGGCCCGGCCGCAGCCTCTCTCTGTGCACACGAGCTGCTGGTGTCCTCGGCCCGGCCGCAGCCTCTCCCTGTCCACGGAACTGCTGGCGTCCTCGGTCCCCGGCCGCAGCCTCGCCCTGTGCACACGAGCTGCGAGTCCTCGAACCCGGCTGCAGCCCTCCCTGTGCACACGAGCTGCTGCGTCCTCGGACGCCGCAGATCTCTCCTGTCACACGAGCTGCTGTCGTCCTCAGTAGCCCGGCCGCAGCCTCTCCCTGTGCACGGGACTGCTGGCTCCTCGGCCCGGCCCAGCCTCTCCTGTGACGGGAGCTGCTGGCCGTCCTCGACCCGGCCGCAGCCTCCGATCCGGCTGCTGCCTCGGGAGCTGTAGGAGTCCTCCGCCTCCGCCGCCTGCCTCTCCCTGTGCACGGGAGCTGCGGGCGTCCTCGGCCCCGGCCGCAGCCTCTCCCTGTGCACGGGAGCTGCTGGCGTCCTCCGCCCACGGCCCCAGCCTCTCCCTGTGCACGGGAGCTGCTGCGTCCTCGCCCCGGCCGCAGCCTCTCCCGGGCACGGGAGCTGCTGGCGTCCTCGGCCCGGCCGCACGCCCTCTCCCTGTGCACGGGAGCTGCTGGCGTCCTCGGCCGGCCCGAAGCCTCTCCCTGTGCACGGACTTCTGGCGTCCTCGGCCCTGCCGAAGCCTCTCCTGTGCACGGGACGGCTGGCGTCCTCGCCCGGCCGCAGCCTCTCCCTGTGCAACGAGCTGCTGGCCGTCCTCGGCCCGGCCGCAGCCTCTCCCTGTGCAACGGAGCATGCTGGCGTCCTCGGCCCGGGCCGCTCCCGCACGCCTCTCGTCCAGCGCAGCACCGAGCAGGGCTGCTGTTCTCCTCCGCCCGGCCGCAGCCTCTCCCTGTGCACAGGAGCTGCTGGCGTCCTCGGCCCGGCCGCAAGCCCTCTCTGTCCACACGATCTGCTCGTATCCTCGAGCCGCGCCGCCCTCGGCCCCGCCGCAGCTCTCTCATTGTCACGGACTCGCTCTCCATTCGCTCGGCGTCCTCCGGCCGGCCGCACCTCTATACCTCTGCACAGGAGCTCCCTGCACTCCTCGCAACCGCCGCTGCCTCTCCTGTGGAACGGGAATGCTGCTCCTCGACCGGCCGCAGCCTCCCCGGTCACGGAAGCTCTGGTCCTCGGCCGGCCGCAGCCTCTCCTGGCCGGGAGCTGCTGGCGTCCGCGCCCGGCCGAGCCTCTCCCGTGCACGGGAGCTGCTGTGCGTCCTCGGCCCGGCCGCAGCCTCTCTCTGTGCACACGAGCTGCTGGCGTCCTCGGCCCGGCCGCAGCCTCTCCCTGTGCACACGAGCTGCTGGCGTCCTCGGCCCGGCCGCAGCCTCTCCCTGTGCATGGGAGCTGCCTGTCGGCTTCCGTGTCAGCCCATCACTCAGAGACGGCAGCTTGTCGGAGTGTAGGGGCATATTTTCAGACCTTCTCCAGACCCCGGGAAGTTACTGTTTTGGGCCATGAAAGAGCCTGCCGCCTTACCAGTCTCTCAGGGGGTAGAAGCCCTGAGCCCAGTGCAGGTTTGAGCCCAGGACCAGTTACGAGCTGGCATGAACAGTGCTGAGCAGTGTTCTCGGGAGGCTGTTAATAAGACGTCTTGTTTATGTCTCCGTGAGACCGTCCTGCCACTCGCAAAGCCAAAGGGACTCGGGGGCCCTTCCATGTGACGGCAGACAGGTGCCTGCCACGTTCGTTGGTTGATTCTCGCTTGGTGACGAGAGATGGCAGGACCGTACTCATGGCTCTCCAGTAAGTACAGGTCTTTGGAAAGCACTTAAATATAATGAAAATATCAACTCAGCAGATACAGTTTAGGAATTGACTACTCATATTAGTTAAAAATTCTCTTCTTTTCGATAGAATTCCTTTCAGTGGTGCTTCGAAAACAGGTTTCCCTACGTTTTAAGTAAAATCTAAATGTAACACTTAGTGTAGAAAGTAAAGAGCACGTAAGTGGGTGAGGCAGCTGCCCTCTCCCCGAAGGCGGTGCGTTTCGGACGGAACCCGTGTTCCTCTGCAGACCCTCACCCCGCGGCCCGTGGGGCTCCCCTTTCTGATCAGGGCTCTGTCCTCAAGGCACTGTGACGAAGTGGTGTGGACCGTTTCTTCCTGGGCCTGGCTTGCTGCTCAGAGCTCAGGTCTGTCCGACGTGCAGAACTGCCGGAGCGTGAGTGTGCCCAGCAGGACTGAGCTTACCGTACCCCCGCTTCTCTTCTTTCTCAAGTGCTGTCTTCAAGACAACACTCAGGGCCCCACCCAGAGTACCTTTGCTTTCCCTAAGCCCCGCCCACCCCACCGTGGACTGTCTGCACTTCTGCCTGGCAGGAAGCATATGTTCCTTGTGTAATTTATCCTTTAGGAATGTCCCTCGCCTCCTGGTCTGGAAACGAGTAGGAGAACTCGCGTCATACCTTCTGGGGACCTCCCAGGCCAGAACACGCTCCGACAGAACTTCTTCAGCACCCATGAGATAGGCAGCCCCTGCGGTCTTGTTGAGCTGTGAACTGTGCTTCGTCAGCACAGGCGGGGCTGAAGACCTGCCTGCAGGACCGTGTCCCGTCCGTGGTGCGGCCCGTGGTGCGGCCCGTGGTGCAGCCTGTGGTGCAGCCCGTGGTGCGGCCGGCTGCACGCGCTTCCGGGGCCAAGGCTCTGGCAGGCTGTCAGCAGGTGTCTTGACGACAGAACAAAAGATTTGAATGTCACTGAATGCCTCATTTGTCTGCAGTGTGAAGACAGCACTAAGAAAGTGGCCCAGATTTAAGTCCGTTTCTGTGAGGAGTGAAGGTGTGGGATGCCATTTTTGTTCCTGGTTTGCTTTCTTCTGATTCTTTTATCTGCTCAGCGGAGTTGAGCTTACCCATTTAGTAGTTGCCAGACTAGATGAGATTATCTGTGAACAGCTTCTGCTTTTGGCTTCACTAGATTTAGGCTTTAAAACAAAAGCCTTTGTAATGAAATTTGAAGACATCTCTATTCTTGAGTAGTGAAATGAAACATTTTAATGTGATTTTTATTGTTTTCTTTTAAATTAATGAAATAGTTTATTACCCCCACCCAAACCCCCCAAATCAAACAAAAAATAAGAAAAATGATGGCAGAGAACCAAGACCAAACAAAACAAAAGTGTTTCTTTACTTCCCAGAAATAAGCACTGCTAACTAACATTTTGGCCTCCGACCAGAATGTCTTTTTTGAATGCAGATTATAAAAATAAAATTAAGATCACAAAATATTTAGTTTTTGTAGTATCCTTATTTAATTAAAAATATGATGTGGTCTTTTCTAATGTATTAAGTGTACTTCCGTAACATGGTTACAAAGAGCGGAGTGGTACTCCAGCACGTGGGTGGTTAACTCTTTCCCTGCTGTAAAAGATGATGCACAAGGACATTGCGGAGGCCAGATGTGTACCTAGATGTTTGCAAAGTTGTTTTTTTATTTTATTTTATTTCATTACTACCTTAGAGTGAAATTGCTGGGTCAGAGGATAAGTGATGTTTATTCATTTATAATTTGTTTTGTCTTATTCTTCCTAAAACCACAACGCTGGGTTTAACAGACTGACTTCAGTAATTATGGTTTCCTTTGTAAATTATTTTCTCTGAGTAGCAAGCCGTCTGTTGGTTCCGGAAGTGCATTAAGGTCCAGCAGAGTTCTGTCCTGTCTGGGACACTGGTTAGCCGGAGCAATGACGACAGGCCGCGCAGGGAGCAGCAGTCACCGCCCGGGCCTGCCTGCGTCCACTGCGGAGCTCGGCTGTGGTCTGACCACGTTTGAGACGCTGCTGCACGGGCGACACACAGAGTGCTCTCACAGATTCCGTTGTCGTCATTGTCAGTCCTCACCCAAGGATGTTTTGATTTTTAGAGAGTGGAAGGGTGGGGTGGGGGGGGAAGAGTCAGAGAGAGTGTCAGGCATCCATTGGTTGCCTCCCACATGACCCTGACCAGGGTCGGGGACAGAACCTGCAACCTAGGTATATGCCCTTGAACAGGAATCAAACCCACAACCCTCTGGTCCAAGGGCTGATGCTCTAACCACGGAGCCACGCTGGCCAGGGCAAAACGTGGAAATCTTTAGGTAAAATTTAGATCTGTGGTTGTTCCGGGGGAAGATAGGGATGGGATGGAATGAGGAGGAGGTACCCAAAGGACTTGGAATTATTGTAATATTATTTAATTCACCTGTATAGTGGGCACACAGCTATTTATTTCATTATTTTTTAAATATTTAAAATATCCTTTCATACAAAATATAGATGATATATTTGAAAATTAAAATAGGAATTTTGAAAAATTTTAACAGAAAGACCATTAAGTAGGTCACTAATACTCCCACATCTTTAATTTTTTTAACCATTTGTTTTTTCACCCACAATTTTGTGAGTTATTTGTAACCATTTTCCCCTAAATGGGATACAACTAAGCAGATACAACTGTTAACATTTAAAAAATAAACTTTTAAAACCAGTGCCGCTGAACAAGTTCGTTTTACATCAAGTTGTTGGATCTCCACTGCCTTTGTAAAATGCACCTCTTTCACAGAGTGAACCGGGTTTGTATCTGTGTGATCCCATCATTGTTGATAAACAGACATGTAGCTGTGCCACCCTCTGACGTAGATCACAGTGGGCTTCAGGTTGGGCCACACAAAAGCCTTCCGAGTGAGCTGACAACTTTCCTCTGAGTTCTCATACATTCACACTATTTCCAGGAGAAATCAGTACCCTCAGGGTATGCGTGTATTTCATTCAGAGGTAATTCCAGCCTGTCATATAGCTGGCCTTTTCCAGGTTAACCCCGCCGACTGACTCCTCCCTGTCTGTGGATGTATTTCACAGGAAATTGCACGGCATTTGCGTCCTGGGACCCTCAGAGCGACCTTCGGTAAAACGAAGATTCAGAACGCGGTTCACTGTACCGATCTCCCAGAGGACGGGCTGTTGGAGGTAAGATGTGAGCATCCATTTGTACTTCAGGCCCATAAATCAGCTGTGCAGTTCTGGTGTGTGAGCAACCTTGCAGTATTCTTGGATTATGCTGTCACCTGGCTCGCTCATAACCTCAGACTACTGCAGCTTTCAGAAAAGACCAAATGGGGCCCGGCTGGTGTGGCTCACAGGTTGAGCGCCAACCCTGCACCAAGAGGTCACTAGTTCGATTCCCAGTCAGGGCACATGCCCAGGTTGTGGGCCCGATCCCCAGTGGGGGGCATGCAGGAGGCGGCCAATCGATGTTCTTTCTCGATGTTTCTATCTCCCTCTCCCTTCCTCTCTCTCTAAAAATTAATAAAGAAAAAAAAATTTTTAATAAAAAAGACCAAATGGTAGCATGATGTTTACAGCGGGATCATCGTCAAAGAATTAAGATATGTTTGTGCTCGGCATACATTGTGGTTAAAAGTAATTTAAAAGTAAAACCTATGGCATTAATTGAACAGTGTGACGTTTGTTTTCAAGTCAGGTAAAACTATGACAATGAGTTGCTAGTCTTGGAAATCTATCCGGGAAATTCAGGAGTCTAATAAGCCATGTGAGAGCATTTAAAGAAATAGCTACCATTTGTTGACTCTCTTTACATATCAGGTTCTACCATGATAAGTGCTTTGTGTAAATTACTTCCTGTCATCCCCACAGCAACTCTAATAGGTTGATACTGTTATCTCTGTTTCATCAGGGAAATGAAACTGAGACTCAGAGAGGTCAAGTAACATCCTCCAATCAAACAGCTAGTACAGGACAGAACCGTGTTTGACCTCTCATCTGTTTACTTAAATAAAATAAGAAACGGTGAAAGAACTATAAGAAAATACAACGAACACTTGGTCTGGTTTAGGGGTAAGAAAGTCGTTTCGAGGCCAAAGCAAAGAAGCTTTAAAGAAAGGATTGATATATTTTTTCTTACAGTTTTTAAAATTTTTGTGTATCAAAAGGAATAACGAAATGAAAGACGAAGGATAAATGTAAGGAATTATAGTTTAAAGGACAGAAAAATGATTGATATCCATAACACACATTCACTTTAGTGTGATTTGTTTTATGTCAAGTCCATCCGTCTTGTCTTTTATTTCTGCCTCTGAAATGGTAGAGAGGCCATTTCGTTCCCATTTTCCTGTGTTGAGGTGCCCAGCCCCCCCCCCCTCTGGTTTGACGCCCGGTGTGAGGCACAGGTCCAGCCACGTCCCAGCGCAGTGTATCCGGCCCTGCCTTCCGGTGCTGCGTCTCGCCCGGGGGCTCCTCTGCACACCGTGCTGCTTCTCGCCCGGGGGCTCCTCTGCACACCCGTGCTGCGTCTCGCCCGGGGGCTCCTCTGCACACCCGTGCTGCGTCTCACCCGGGGGCTCCTCTGCACACCCGTGCTGCGTCTCGCCCGGGGGCTCCTCTGCACACCCGTGCTGCGTCTCGCCCGGGGGCTCCTCTGCACACCCGTGCTGCTTCTCGCCCGGGGGCTCCTCTGCACACCCGTGCTGCATCTCGCCCGGGGGCTCCTCTGCACACCCGTGCTGCGTCTCGCCCGGGGGTTCCTCTGCACACCCGTGCTGCTTCTCGCCCGGGGGCTCCTCTGCACACCCGTGCTGCGTCTCGCCCGGGGGCTCCTCTGCACACCCGTGCTGCGTCTCGCCCGGGGGCTCCTCTGCACACCCGTGCTGCGTCTCGCCCGGGGGCTCCTCTGCACACCCGTGCTGCGTCTCGCCCGGGGGCTCCTCTGCACACCCGTGCTGTTTCTCGCCCGGGGGCTCCTCTGCACACCCGTGCTGTTTCTCGCCCGGGGGCTCCTCTGCACACTCGTGCTGTTTCTCATCTGGGGGCTCCTCTGCACACCCGTGCTGTTTCTCGCCCGGGGGCTCCTCTGCACACCGTGCTGTTTCGGAGCTGCCCGTCGTATTCCACTGGGCTGGGCCAGTGAGAGCCTCTGGCTGCCCGACGGGGCGCCTCTCCTTTTCAGCCAGTGGAGTCTTCCCTCCAAGCAGTCCGGGCGCAGCCTGTGAAGTTAGCCCACCAGTGTTGTTCCTGTTGCTCTGGAGAATGACCTCCTCAGCTCCATGAAGGTGGCTTCTGCCCCGGCGCAGTTCAAGCGTTGGCCCACAGACCAGAGACTCGGGCTTGTTCCCACCAAGGACACGTACCTTGCTTGCGGTTTGTCCCCGGCCCCAGTTGGGGTCGTGTGGGTGGCAGCCAGTTGATATGTCTCCCTCACATCGATGTTTCTCTCTCTCGCTCTATCTGAAGATAAATGCAAAACTGTCCTCAGGTGAGGATAAAAAAAAAAAGAAAAGATTGTTTCCTGTAATCTAAGATGGTAATCGTGCCTAAACCGCTCACCCTGGTATGAAATACATATTGTGACATGCAAAAATGTTACAAACATCACCTTTTAGTTACCCAAAGGATTAAATGTTCATTTTAAATTTTCACCTAGTTTGTCCAGCTGGTGTGGCTCCATGGTTGAGCATCGACCCTGCACCAAGAGGTCACTGGTTCGATTTCCGGTCAGGGCACATGGCCAGGTTGTGGGCCTGATCCCCAGTGGGGGGCATGCAGGAGGCGGCCAATGTTCTCTCTCATCGATGTTTCTATCTCTCCCTTTCACTTCCTCTCTCTCTAAAATCTATAAAGGAAAAATTTTAAAAAGATAAATTTTCACCTAGTTTATAAATATTCCCTTCACTTTCTGATGGATCAGGACCTACAGTCTAAGTTTGAATACAGAGTGTTGTTCAGCAAAACGGAAACATTATTAATCATGAAATGCATGCCCATTAAAAAGTACCATCCAAGGTATGCCTGTGACTGCTCCTGCGATTTAGAATAGATTATTACTGCCGGCGGTTTACAGAGCCATTTACAAAATGATTAAAATCTTTCTAACTTAATTGCACAGGAGAGTTCATTGCAAATAATAAAATAAAATAAAAAGCAAAGGAAGTTGGCCTCCCCTGGGGCTGATGATTGATTTTACCTGCTGTGACCTTGGATAAGTCACTTTTTCTTCCCATGCCTTGCATCTCTGCTTCTCTTATCAGCAGGGTGGAACAAGAATGCTGATATAACCAAGGAACATTCGCTTAGTTAGGGATTAACTATTTGCAAATTACTTGGCTTTAAGTAGTCAGGTATCATAAAAGCATTTAGAGGCCCATAGAGCTGTCTGCCCCTACATCTTCAAAGTGCAAGTGAGCGGGACACAGGGACGGCTCTGACCTGGGAGGCACTTTGTACTTAGATCTGCTGTTCAGCAAGGCAGCATCCTTTCCTGTAGGGCGACCCTGAACTCCACTGCCCACTCCAGGACCTTTGGAAGGCAGCTCCAGTCCGACGAGATGCTCTGACCGAGGCGTAAACTCGAACTGTCGTGGGCACTGGGGTTGTAGGGTCCCCACTGCCTCGGCAAGATGTTTCCCGAGCTAAGCTTGTGTCGGATATTTGGAAGTGTGGTTTCAGTTTCTATTTTGCCATCATCCATTATTTGTTCCACTTATTCTTATAACAACCCATTGGAGAGCATGTTTTCTTGGTGACACAGTGATGCGATTTGGCAGTCCACCGAGACTTTTCCCTGTTCTCACTGACCCGCGAATGCGTTAGAGGCCAAGGTCCCAGCAGGAACCTAGAGTGTGGTCTCCTTGGATCCTCTAGTGGTGACACGGCCGTTTCTGTGGTCACAGGAACAGGTAGCAGTGCCCATAGCGTGAGACATTCTAGGACGTCGTCTCGCTGTGAAGATCTCACAGTTCTGTTAAAGAAAGCGTCCATGGAAACATGTTTAGCTTAACTAGTAATAAAAGAAACAGTTTTCTCCCAATGGCAGCGTTTTAGAGTACCGACGCCCACTTTCGGCGAGGCTCCAGTAACGGCTGTCCTGAGAGGCTGGTGCCACGGGGTTGTTCTGTAGTTGGTCCCAGAATTCCACCTGTGAGAGTCCGGCTGGAGGCGGAGAGTGGCGGGACGACCAGGTGGACAGTGGTCATTGAGGAGTACTTGTGGTGGTCACAGTAGGAACAGGGCGGATGGCTCCAGGTCTAGCTGACCTTCCCTCCTCTGAGAAGCTTCCATCACACCCCCAGTCCCTACGTGTGTTCATAGCATCTCACTTCCCTCTAATACAGCAGTGTGGCCAACAGTGGCTTCACTCTGCTCCGGGTGCTCACCCATCTCATCGCCCCGGCTTCCTGGTTCTGCTCCGGGTGCTCACCCATCTCATCGCCCCGGCTTCCTGGTTCTGCAAAGTGAATCCCCAGCCGTGCCGTCCGGTCCGGGTGCTTCCATCTCATCGGCCCGGGCTTCCTGGCTCTGCAAAGTGAAGCCCAGCCGTGCCGTCCTGCTCCGGGTGCTCACCCATCTCATCGCCCCGGGCTTCCTGGTTCTGCAAAGTGAAGCCCAGCCGTGCCGTCCTGCTCCGGGTGCTTACCCATCGCATCGCCCCGGGCTTCCTGGTTCTGCAAAGTGAAGCCCAGCCGTGCCGTCCTGCTCCGGGTGCTTACCCATCTCATCGCCCCGGGCTTCCTGGCTCTGCAAAGTGAAGCCCAGCCGTGCCGTCCTGCTCCGGGTGCTTACCCATCTCATCGCCCTGGGCTTCCTGGTTCTGCAAAGTGAAGCCCAGCCGTGCCGTCCGGGCCGATAGCACGGAGCCCAGCACGGGCCATGCTGAGGGGCGCCAGCGTTGCATGGCTGTGCTGTCTGTGCTGATACCGTTCCCACGACACTGAGCGCTCATCGGGCAGGGGTCCGTCCTGCCTGGATAAACACTCTTCAGTACATCCTTTCTGAAGGAAGAGTGGGAAGGGTTGGTCAGTGCATCATGGTTCGTGTGCTCAGTGTGAAGCCCGTGGCCTTGTCTCTTGAAGGGCGGTGATGAAGACCTGCCTCGGCAGGGGCTCCCAGCGTTGGTCACCATGAGAAGCAGCTCGGCTGTACCCACACCCAGCCTTGGAGATTCTCCTTTTTTTTTC